AGAGCTTGTGTCCCCCCTTGACCCGAAGTCGTGCCCGCTTTACCAGAAGCTTTTCGAGACAAAAAGAGTTGTTGCGGTGTGGGCCCAGGTTACTCCTATCACCAAATTGCTTGTATTTTCGGTTTACGCGAGAACGGCCGCATCCAAATTCCCTGAAGTGTATGCTGAAAATGATGCATTGTTTTCCAGCATTTTGGAATGCAGTGCACAGTTTGGACCTGTGCCCATTCTCATTTGCGGGGACTTGCAACTGAACCCAATGCATTACAGGAGCCTCTCAGGGGCCATCAACAATCATTCGTGGTTTGACCCCCTTTCCACGACAGATAGCAATGGGGACCTGTATCGGCCACTCACGTTCTCCAATGATGGTCTCTTTTCGGGCCTCGGGGATCATTGCACTTCCATCGACGGGATCATTTGTAACCATGTCGCATTCTCTGCGCTTAGGAGCATTGAAGTCCTTTCCTTGCACAAGGTCCAACACCGACCCATCAGGGCCTCCTTTTCGTGGGAATCAATAACCCAGGTTGGCTTCACGCTGATTAAGACTGCTCCCTTCAATTTGGAGCAGTGTTCGAGACCGGATCCATCAGACCCACTGTGTCCGTGCCACGATAATGCAGTACGGATTTGGACGAATGGTTTCGAATCCCGGTTTGATGTTGCACCGGATGTTGACTCCAAATGGGACGTTGCCAACCAGTTCCTGGTTCAAGTTCTGTCCACCAACGGGGCCACTTGGGACAAAGGCCCCCATGTGAGAGGTAAGCCCCCTAAGTTCAAGGAAACTAGGATTTCCCCAGGCCAGACATGCCATGGTGATGCCCTTTCACTCAAACTCAAAAAGATCTCGAAAACGCTGAACCTTCTCAGGGAGGTCTATCTTCGGTTGTCCAGACCTGTCCGCTCACCGGCCGATGCACTCACCCTGTCAGGAACCATACATAAGGTTGCCAAACAGTTGCTTCGGTGGGATTGCCCTCACCTGTGGACTAGAGGCACCCTTCCCACGTTGGAAACAACCTACGCTTGCCTGGAGTGGGTGCACCAGAAGTTGTTATTCACCACCACTGAGGTCCGCAAGTTTCGGATCCAGCAGTGGAGAGACCGCATCAAAGCGTCTAATGTGTCTGACAAGAAGTTCGTCTTTCAGCATTTGAAAAACAAAGCAGCTGAAGAACCCCCGAACCTCATTACAGACAGCTCCGGCAATGTCCTCTACCAGCCACTTGATGCTCTTGCGGAGTTCAACAACCAATGGGATACTGTCTTTGGGGCAAATGCGCTTCATGAAGACCCCCATACAATCCTGCGTGTTGTCTGGCCGTATGTAGCAGACTTCTCCACTAAAGCTGAAGTCCCGCACATTACGGCCCATGATCTCCACAAGCAAATTCAAAGGCGGAAGAAGGAGGCTGCGCCAGGGTTGGACGGCTGGCGAACAGCAGAACTCCAGATTTTACCTTGGTTTGCGTTCGTTCCCTTTGCTATGATCTTCAATGAAATCGAGCAAAACCTCTCGGACCTACCAAAAGTGTTGACCATCGCAAAGCAAATGGTTTTGAACAAAAACGGTGACCCATCACCGATGCAAAAGAGGCTTATCACTCTGTTGCCTGTCCTCCTTCTTAGTTATACCGGCCTCAGATTTAGGCAGCTTCAAAACTGGCAGAACCAGGTTATCCCAAGAAATCTGTGTGGTGCCATCAAAGGTCGCACTATGTCGGCCGTCCACACTGCACTGCGCATGGAGCTGGATGTTGCTCATCAGAACGGGGACACCCTGGTAGGACTCAAATTAGATAAGTCAAAATGCTTTGATAGAATCATCCCGGCCGTAGCGGGCGCTTTGATGATGGCCTTTGGTGCCCCGCGTGGGATCGTCCACTTTTTCGTGCAGATGTACACCCACCTCAAGCGGCACCTTGCATTGAGGGGTTGGATCTCCCCCACCCCCACCACTGCGTGTAACGGAGTCGCACAAGGGTGTTCATTATCCCTAATTGCAGTCAACCTCATGATGGCTGTGTGGGCCATTTTCATGAACCTCATTCCTCACGTCACGGCCAAAGCGTTCATCGATGACGCTTACCTTTGGGCGTCGATCTTGCGAGTTGAGAACCTGGTCCAGGCATATGAAGTCACAAATTTTTGGGACTCCCTCATTGGACAGGCCTCTAATCCGGGGAAATGTCAACTTTGGACGTCCGATGCCAAACAAAAACCACGTATCTCTGGCAAGTTCCCAAATGTTCCCATTGCCGACACCATTGATGTTCTTGGAGTCAAACTCTATGTAAGCAAAGTCAAGTCATTCGCTTTCGATGATAGGAAGACGGAGAAACTGGTCAACGATGTTCGCAATATCTCCGCCCTTCCACTCAATACCTCATCCAAAGCCAAATTGATTGCTTGTAAAGTGGTGCCCCAAATTACCTATGGTGCGGCAATCACTAAGATTCCTCAAAGGGTCATTTGGAAAACACAAAATGAGATCGTAAATGTTTTGTGGGCCAACCGGCCACACTGGAGATCACGCATGTTGGTTTTGGGCCTCTTGGGGTTGCCACATCGCATGGAACCTCGAATTGCGAGGGCCTATAGTGCCATCCTCGACTTCGTTCGGTTCTTGAACCAATACCCAGCCTCGATCCCAACGTGCTGCTCCCTACAGGCAAGTCAGAAGTGGCCCCATGAATCCCTTTTGTGGCAGATACAGACTTGCCTGGGCATCCTCGGTCTGAAGCTTGAGCCCAATCTTTGTGTTTCTTTTCGGGGTTCTCAGAGTATTTGTTTGTCTGAGGTTAACCCCAAGGATTTTGCCAAACCATTGCAGCATTTTGCCATTCAGCAATGCTATTGTGCCGCCGTGTCGAACAATCGCAAAGACATTCAGAAGTGTTCAGGAATCTTTGATCCCGAGCTGTCGGACATTTTCAGCCGGCGGTCCAAACTCTCCTTTGATTCTCCATTTCCTGTCAAAGCGTTTTTCGATTCCGTTCGTGTTGGGTGCAACCTCACAAATGATAGATTGTTTCGGGCTGGCCTAGTCAACAGTCCACAATGCCGCATGTGTGATGCCCCAAAAGAAACATGGGAACACCTCGTCCATGAATGCTCAGGCGTAGAATCAGTTCTCCCTCGACCAGCTGCCCATGAGCTTGGAGAAAACTTTTCTCAATTCGGATTGTGTGCTCACCCTCGCCAAGTTGCGGTGCAAAGACTGAGGGTTTCTCCGACGGGCGCTCCAGCGGTTGCTTTCGAACCCGATGTGAGCTCCATTTTTTGGACCGACGGCTCTGTCCAGTGGAACTCATACTTCTGGCTCGCTGCAGGAGGGTATGCTGTCATTGCTGAGAACGCCGAAGTTGTCGAAAGTGGACCAGTCCGACATTGGGAACTTTGTGCCTACACTACAGAGCTTTTCGCGCTGCTGCGGGCCATCAAGCTTGCCTCAGGGGTGGTTGAAATCCGAACGGACTGCCTCACGATTGTAGACCAGTTCACAGACCTCTCCACGACTTTGGAAGTCAATGCCAAGTGGTCCCACCAACCGTGGTGGGTGGAGATCTTGACCATCCTTCGCAGCAGGCTGTCGAGACACCCTCACCCCATACATGTCTCTTGGGTGCCAAGCCACGTGTTGGAAGACTGCCCCATTTGTCTTCTTACAGAGAAGTTGGCTAAGGAGCATGGCTCTACTGTCTTAGACATCTCCAACAATCGACAGGCGGACAAACATGCGAAGGCTGCTGCCATTGCAGAATCAGCGATCCATCCCGACAAACAACCCATACTCGAGAAAGCTGTTCTAAATCGCCAGGAGTGGCTTGTTCTTGTCAACTGGGTATTGGAAATGAAACAGCCACCGCCATCGAAGCGATCTGATGAGAGCACTTTGGAGCCTCCAGTTGTTAACTCCATTGAAGACGTTGTGAAAAGGTTCCCTACATGGTCTTGGACTTCGCCTTCTTCAGATTACCCATGGAAGCCCAAGATCCCAAGGGGTCTACCATGTCCGTCATCATGGCAATTTGAGCTGGAAGACTGGCTTTCATTCCGTTCCTTCTTTGATAAGCTTCGCTGGAAAATTGATGAGGAGTGTAGTTTTTCCACAGTGGAATTGGCATGTCTGTTTTGGTGGCGCGGGGGGTCCCATAGCCAACTCGCCCCCAAGACAAGCAGGTACAGCCATTTGATCACTGTGTTCAGGACGATGCTCAAGCATTTGACACGGTCCGCCGATGCCCAACCGTTTCCGTGTGACTTTGATTCAAGGCGGAACAAATGTTGCGGCAGGGAACTCCCGAAAGGAGTCTTTGTTGGGTGCGAGGCGTTCATGTCGGACGATGAGCGCTTCCAACTGATTCATCTTTTTGATGAGGGTGCTGGCCGGAGTCTTTCTTCATGGGACTCAATCCTCTAGGTGCCAATTCGATGCATGCTCCTTTCATTGTTCACCCCTTGCCGGACTCCAGAGAGGGTCTGGTAGCGCTCGTCGACTCTCGATTTGTGCGCGATGGTGGAATCACCCCCCCCACACCTGGAGATGTGAATGACCACTGCAGGAGATGCGTTGCTACGGAGGAACGAATCCACTCCCATCGGTTCCCATCCTGAGCCATGTTGACCAGTTGGAGGACTCACCACTCATTCGCTTCAAAAGGGTGGTTGTTATGACACACATCCTAACCTCACTCTTAGAGAGTCAACAACCTGAGAGTTGTTCTCAGGGACTAAAACAGGACACCCTGGACATTGGTACACCTGTTGGGTATGTTAAGTGAACGGCGTGCTGTTCTTCTTCCCAAGGAGGGGGGTTGATGAGAAGCTGTCCAGCTGACCAAAGTGATTGCCACTCAGTGCGTGGCTTGCAGGTGGTAGTTCTATGAGGTGCCACGTGTTTCTTCTCTCTGCAATTTGTGAATTTTATCTGGATGGTCACCGGATGGTCACCGGATGGGAGTTATGCCCTGTGCAGATCGGCGACATGGGAGGACTGGGATGACCTCGACGAAGGCTTCGGCATGCCTTTCTCCGAAGAAGACGACGGGGCAACTGAAGGCCTGGTGAATCCAGGTCAGGTGTTGGATCTATACACCCACAAGTGACGACAGTTCAGGTTGAGACTTGAATGAATCGTTGTCTCCAATAGTGGAGAAATCTGTAGACAACACACATGGCTTTGAAACATATACAACACACCGGTACCCGTGGTTTTGAGGTTTGTTTCACACCATGGCTTTTCGCAGGCAGAGCCGGTCTGCGGGGTTTGGGCAGAGTTTCTTTGTTCGGACTGGTCCGAGGGAATCCTCCCAAAGACATAGGATAAGGGGTCATGCCATGAACATGTGCTCCATTTGCTGTTCAACTTGCGCATGATTTGGGTTCTTGAACTGAGAACAGGTAGCTCATATGCTGCTTCCATCGCCACTGGAATGGGGAAGCTTCCAGCCGTTTCCGCAGCCTCACCACTGTACTCTTGATTTTATCGCTCATCCCATCTTCAACGAGCTTCATGAGCATCCTTTAGATCATTTGTAGCATGGCCCCGGGATAAACCAAGAACTACGGAATCCATGGAAGCAAAGATATAAGCAAGTATGCAAAGTGCCTTCAACATATTTTTTTTCTTTTAGTACACTTTGCAGTTACATCCCATCATCGAACCAACAAATCAATCTGTGGAAGACGGTTTTCTGCAAATTGAGGTTTGGAGGTTCCACTTCCCAGAGTTTCTCCCATGTAAGGCCTAGTCAAGGCCTATCAGCATCCACACGAGCGATTCGCTGACTCCATGACCCGGGCGACTCGGATCGTTCTTTTCCCGCACGGTGTTCTGAACACGCTGAGGCGACGAGAACCGAGAGACCTCTGGCTTCGTGGGGAGCGTCTTCGACGGGATGGACGCCCCTGCGGGCGCTCAAGCCAGCGTGTTGGCAATCAGTTTGGGGCGGAGGAGGTATGACATTGGTGGAATGACAATGGTATTCCGATATTCCAATGCCCAGTAAATCAGTAAGAGTTGGCCAGAAAGGATCACTCTTCATGACCACGGTGGCCTGCAACTTCACCGAAGCATCATCACCCACTGGGCCCTGGGAAGGCCCGGGAGATGCTCCGACTCAAGATCTCCCAAGGAATGACGGTGGGGAAATTCGGGTATTTGACCAGCGTTTGGAGTGCTGGAAAGATGGTGGATGGTGACATTCTGGATGCCTGAACCTCACTGGTTTCATTCAAAGGTCCAACAGTCTGAGACTGTCCAGACGATATGGAAAGCAGGCCCTGGGCAAGCTGCAAGCCTCTTCTTGTGACTTTGGCCCCATTGCTGAACAAACCGTTCCAGTCGGTGCTGGTCGACTTTTCCTAAGGGCATTCGGGATATCCCTTTCTTTCACCCATCTTTGATGCAGCTTTGTAGCAATGGGTCAAAAATGGTCAAAACCATGCAAGCTGTTTGACTCTGATTTTCATGGCCTTGCCAAGCGCCACGTGGCGCGAACCGCAACAAGCAAACGACCCCTTTTTTTTTGTCCCATCCAAACGACGAACCGCTTGCCGTTACGACTCGAGGTGACCTCGATTCCCAGCTATGAAGAGCTCAGTCTTTTGTACGACGACTTTCCGGTGCAAGGCGCGGTCTCGGGATCCGAAAGGGGGATCAATGTGGTTGAGGAGAGTGAGTGTGGCTTTGAGACGAGACCCTGCAACCTGAGTGACCTCTGCACCACCAACCACTCCAAGAAAGGCCCTTTCCAGGCAGCAAACCAGGCAGCAAAGCGGATGTTTCATGAGGTGGTGTGGCCGAGTGTGGCCATTTGCTACCTCTCAAATTGCTTTATATAAGTTGGCCACACACTCATGGATATGCGTACTGACTTGATAGCGGTGCCACACGCCAGCCTAAGAGACCCAAATCCTGAAAAACCAGGTGAAGGGGACCAGAGTTCCTGTAGTTAAAGGCCACGAACCGACGAGGCGACAGGTTGACGGCGTTCCGCTCACGTTTGCAGCTCAAGGAAAAACATCCAAACGTCCAAACTTCGAGGTTCTTGGCTTAGCCTCGCGCCATGCAGAAACTGGAAAAAAGCAGGTACGTTCGGATGATCAGTCCGAATATCCCACTCTGTGACCTAGCTTCGTTGAACTGGGTCAGTCACAGAGTGCCCAGTTCCCCTGCAAAAAGCTCAAAACAATCCGAAGGATCCCTATGATTCCAAGGGTTACACACACACGCCCTCCCCGAAGGGAGGCAAACTTTTAAGCGCAGCTGAAAAACTAAGGCTCCAACAGGTTCCAATGAACCTCAAAAGTACTTCGGTCGCTCTGACCACGTTGAGGCGTTAAGCCAGCTTGGACCGCTGTGGTCACGTAAAGGCATGAGCCAGCTTGGAATTCCAAAAATAAGACATAAATCATCGGACGTACGGCATTAGCCAACTGCTGCCCGCTGTGGGCACGTACGTTTCCAGAGCAAAGGAAACAGAGACGTACACCCGTTCGACGGGTCCACGGGAGGCACTCTGCGGGCTCATCCCGGGTTGGCACGAAGCCAAACACACTCATGGATATGCGTACTGACTTGATAGCGGTGCCACACGCCAGCCTAAGAGACCCAAATCCTGAAAAACCAGGTGAAGGGGACCAGAGTTCCTGTAGTTAAAGGCCACGAACCGACGAGGCGACAGGTTGACGGCGTTCCGCTCACGTTTGCAGCTCAAGGAAAAACATCCAAACGTCCAAACTTCGAGGTTCTTGGCTTAGCCTCGCGCCATGCAGAAACTGGAAAAAAGCAGGTACGTTCGGATGATCAGTCCGAATATCCCACTCTGTGACCTAGCTTCGTTGAACTGGGTCAGTCACAGAGTGCCCAGTTCCCCTGCAAAAAACTCAAAACAATCCGAAGGATCCCTATGATTCCAAGGGTTACACACACACACACAGCTCGGCAGAGCACCTGGTCTGGTGAGAGATTCTTTGAAAAGACCCCTCTTCCTCGACCGGGACTGGTGGAGCACCGGTGTCTCCACAAGATGAACACACGCCGCGGACCTCCGCGGACCGCCATTCGCGGATGGAGCATCCCTGGCCGTTCACGCGTGGACCGCGCCCTCCAACGAGGCTTGGTTGACACAGGCCATGGAGCCCGAGCGATTCGTTTCACACACCCGAGCGATTCGTTTTCCATGGAAGTGATTTCACCACCTGCTTGGTGGAGAGCAGAAGTCTTGTTCTTACATGTTCTTACAAGATTTACAAGTCAAAGCTCCAAGAGAACATGTCATGTAACATGTATTAAAAAGATCCAAACGTTGGGGGTCCCACGCGTTCGTCCCAGAAGAGAAATAGATGGCGAGAAAGGGGGTCTCCCTAAGTCTAATAACTACACACCCAAGAGAGTGCGCTCCTCCCGACTCGGAAAGGCCAAACCGTCCAGAAGGAGCCCGAGAAGCCCACACCGACTCCGGAGGTGGCACTGAAAGAGAAAGAGCCATCGCGCGCGAAGAGGACCTTGGAATACATGGAGGAGCTACTTGGTGTCAGAATTTTTCGGACCTTGCTGGGGGAAAACGTGTGGGTGTGTATCATTTAAATAGAGAGACCTCCCACAATTCGACGCCCTGGAAGAAGGGAAATCGACCTGTCTACCCTTCTTCCTGGCCACCTTGGGCCAGGGGCTCTCTCTATTGAAATACACGTGTGGAAGAGGTGAAGAGGTCCGAGCCTTGACGAGAGCCACTCTTTTTCCGACAATGCGACCAGGTCTCAGTGAGGAACAGCGGCTGTATTGAGCGCTGGTCCAACAGAGTCCAAGGGTCGCAGGAAGGACCTGGATCCAACCCGATTTTATCCGATTTTGTGGGGTCGAATTCCCAAATCCAACTCTCCAAGAATTGCTCGTGTGGGACATTTTTTCAGACTGATGGATTGGGGTGGTTTGGGAATTCGATTTTTGGGATTCGGAATGAAGGCATGACATATGAAACGTGAGGAGTACGAACAAGCTTTTGTAACCTTGATACAGTCCATTTCTGAAGACCTTGAGGCGTTGTGGGCTGTGGGCCTTGCCGCAATTCCTCTCCACCGGCCTAGAAACGGATATAATTACGTTTGGTGCTCCTAAGCCAAAAAGCAACCTAGGGATATCAACTTCTAAGAAAGAAGGCTCTTCTGCCACGGGGTGATGTTGTACGTATAATTCTTTTCAGCATGTATGCTTCTGTTGTCACTGTTGCCTGGTTTAAGATGATATACCATGCCCCAGCTGTGCTATTTTCGAATAAGACGGTTTCCGGATGCGAACCGCCGCGGACGCCCGCGCCTCTGGCCGGTCCTTGTGAGTTCAACCGAGCCGCCACACCAAGGAGAGAATATGAGGCGCGGTGGGCGGGGAGTCGGTTGAGAGACTCGGAGTGAGTTTGCAACCGACTCGGTGAGGAGTGGAGTGGAGTGGTCGGTCCGTTCATGCTTTTTCATAAGTCATTGGGGATGGCAATTACATGCAATTACTTATGAATATTCATTAGACGATCCATCTTGATTGATTACCACCTTTTATCCTTTTCTTCCATCCTGGTGGTGGACATGCCGTTGGAAGTGCAGCCCTTGGAGTTTGATGAGAGCATCTAGCCACCCTCCGCAGGCGTTTCCAAGCGATGCATCGTATGTACATTAAATATATATATATATATTTACCAGGCTACCGCCTGCAGCCGCCGACCCTAAGGGAAAATGTAGTGGCAGGGTTGGGTCCTCGCGGCCGGGGCCCTGCCAGTGGAATTGTTTTTTCATAGAATTGGTTACGTTTTCCGCTGGATTTGTAGGATGTCAAAGTTTTTGCAGCATTTACTTAGGAATGCTCTTGCTTTTTGCTAGAGCCTGTCACGTTTTCTGCTGGATTTGTAGGAGTTTCAAAGGCTTTTCCAGCATTTCCTCTGGTTTATTTGGGTATCTGTACAGGCATCGTGTCGGTTTTTGGGTTCCCAGGTTTGCCCAGAAAATTGCTAACCCATTTTCTTAAATCTAGCACAGACCATAGGCGCTAGCAGGAACCCGGAGCCCGGCAGAGCATGAAAGGCATGAGTACAACAATGGAATAAAATAGGTTAGCAATTTCCTGGGGAAATCTGGGACCCCAAAAACAAGAGGAAATGCTAGAACATGCTTTGAAAAGCACACAAATCCACCCCAAAACGTAACAAAATCTAGACAAAGCCAAGAGCATTCCTACGAAAATGCTGGAAAAGCCTTTGAAAATCCTACAAATCCAACAGAAAATGTGACAAAATCTAGGACAAATCAAGGGTATAGGCATGAGTACAACAATGGAACAAAATTGGTTAGCAATAGGTTAGCAATTTTTGGGGGAAATCTGGGAACCCAAAAACAAGAGGAAATGCTAGAAAATCCTTTGAAAAGCATACAAATCCAGCCGAAAAGCCAAGAGCATGCTGGAAAAGCCTTTGAAAATCCCACAAATCCAACAGAAAACGTGACAAAATCTAGGAAAAATCAAGGGTATTGGCGGGGATCACACCGCGACCACCCCGGGATTCGAGCCCGGGACCACTTATGGACCGTGCTTATTTTCCCGCGTGGGTGAAGAGGGTGCCCCAAGATGTAATTAATTGGGATGGACAAATCTTGGACAATTCTTGGAGAAATTTTGTCGAAATTTTGTCGAAATCTTGCCGAAATTTTGTCGAAATCTTGGCGAAATCTTGGCGAAATCTTGGCGAATTTCGGCAGATTTCGTCACTGCAACAAGGGTCCGGAGGGGCAGGGGAGGTAAGGCTAAGGCTAAGGTCTAAGGCTAGGTCTAAGGCTAAGGCTTAAGGCTAAGGCTAAATCAACAGTCACGCCTCACCCCACGAGTGGGGTCGGCGGATATAAAAGCAATATTATATACATACATACATATCTACTATATGATGCATAATTATGTTATATATATATATATAACAACTGTATTATATATATATATATGTATATGTAGGATCGTTCCTTGGACATCACCATCGTGGATGCAGTGTACACCAACGACATGATTGTGGAACTCAAAGTCCAACAAGACGCAACACCCTGGGTGGGACCTCTCATGCGAATGTCTTGGCTGAAACCCGCCTACACCAGAAGCAAAGCCACAAAACCCATTGGTTGGAGGGTCTCCCGTGGTCTCGCGGATCGGGAGATGGTGGTTTCCCGGGTGGATCTCCCATGGTGACCTTTTTTGGTTCTTTCCCGGTTCCGGAAGCAAATCCAAGACCACTCACCCCATCTCTCGTTTTTGCTGAGCGCCAGGTCATTGCGGAGGGCATTGCGGTGCGGACGCTGCCGGACGAGCGGTCGCCACGCACGGGAGAGATCCTCCGGCAAGGGGATGCTTGGTCTAAGCCATGGCATCATGGACCAACGTGGATGGGAAAATGGCCCCGAGTTCGGACCATTTTCAATCCGAAGACCCCACAGGTGGAAGCCAGCCAAATCCGGGCTGGGAGAGAGGTTTGAGCCCTTCACCCTGGGAACAGTCCAACAAGAGTCATCAGGAATTATCGGAAATGACTTTATGAATGGTTTATGGTTTGGGTCACCGACGTCTTGTCATTTGTTATGCTTGAGAAACGGGCCCTTGAACCCAGTGGATCCCAGCCAGCCACCAGGAACCAGGGGCTGGACCGCTCGGTCTCGGCCCTAGAGACCCCCGACGTCGGCGTCCCATTAGGGGGGAGCGTTGTCTGCGTCCCATCGGCTTTCTCGACGTCGGCGACCACGATCCAGTGATGAAACCGCGTGGAGCGGATGGGTGGCCGAAGCACATGAATGGAATACCCCCAACATGAAAAAGATCTGACGATGGGTCAAAAGCTGGAGACCTGCCCGGTCCACCATGAAGCTTGACCCTTGAGGTCAAGCAAGGTCTCCTGGTTTTGACCCACAGCCAACGTGAAAACAGTCTGACCCTCGGAATTGAATACTATGGAAGCCAGATACAGTTTCTCACTCATACAGCATATCCCATGAAGTCCGATACCAATCTGGCATGAGGACTTGCACCTGCTCCCAGCGCTAAAAAAGAGCCATACAGAAAGGGGGGTCATCATCCCGGGGTCTGACACTTAAGGCATTAATGAGTTATTTTCTCATCGATGTTTGGGATTTCGACCTTTGGTTCAGATTTCTGTCAACTCATCCGCTTTGGCTCTTTTGTACTGGTGCCCTCCATCTATTCTTTCGGCACCAAAAATCTCCGATCCATTGCCATGGATCCACCGAATTGCCGTGATACCAACTCCAAGACCCTATACCAGCATGCAAATATGGTTCAATGAGTTCTAATAGGAATGATATATGAACATTTTCACCTACCAGCACCCGACTTCACAGGTCAACACCTGCCACCTTTAAGTCTCCAAAAGCCACTAGAGGAGACCTGTCAGGCACCCATGGGAGTTGAAAGGTAAAGAATATGCTTTTATTGAACATATGTACAGTATGTATTTTAAATTGTTATTATTCTTATCTTAAAAACACACTTTATATCAAACTGTTTATTTATTTCCCCGGCTTCCAACAGTAACAACGATGAACAGCTGAGGAGAAGTTTACCGCCATCGAGGCCCAGGACGGCAGAGGCAATGACCCCCGTGCCCTGGAGGGGATGGTGAGGGGCTTGAGCGGCTGGGCACTGGATGAATGAAGAAGTCCTCAAGACCATCTGGGAATATGGGCCCAATGTGGGCCCATGTGGGCCCATGTGAGCCCTTGCCTCACCCCGAGTTGTTCCTTTTTTGGAAAATAGGTGTTGGGGGATGGGTGTTCATTGTGAGGGACGACAGGGGGATACAAGGGGCTTGGGAGGCCTCTTTGTCTACTCTTCCTACTTTCTTTGGAGTCACGGTCTACTAGGTTTGTCTCTTCACTTCCCGCTTCCAGACACGCACAATATCTCTCGTTCCAAGCCCAAAGACTTGAAACCATACTTGTGAGGGCCTCCTGAAGCAATGTTTCTTCCTCGGGATGTACGGTCCCATTCCACTACCATGGCAAGTGACCACCAGCACTTTTCCCCAGGTCGGGTGGTGTTTTTTGGCCTCCGTGACGATGTATTTTTAGAATATATGTTCCATCCACGCATCCAAATTGGGTGTTGAATTTCAGCCTCATTGGTGTTTGGTTGAAGGTGACATCGGTGTTAGCAGGGTCGGTGAGCCACAATGAGATGAATCTATGGAAGCAGGCGTGGCGGTAGATGCATGAAGCCTAGCCGCTAGCCAACTGTTCCATGTCCTAGATTGGGCATGTGCAGATGTCATAGAATCATTTTTGTTTGTGTGTCCCACTACCAGCAACAGTCGGTACAGGATTATTTTGTTTTATATAAAAGAAAGGCCTGCCACCTAACCGTGATCATCCACTTGGCCCTGGGATGTAGGGATATACCCAAAAGATTTTCTTCAAAGACTTTGCTTGATATATTTCTGACCACTTGATCGCCATCATTGTTGTCGAAGAATCAATGGACTCAGTGAGATTTCAATCGGCCTTGTTCCCCTGGTTTCAGCGGGAGAAAAAACAAGTTCTCACATGCTGCTAACCAGCTCACCACAATCGAACCCGAAAACACGGGTTTTGCAGAGGAACGCAATGGACTGTGAGTGGACCGGCCCAGCCCTGATCGCAGCACTATTCAAAGGATCGTTGTTGGATATAGTAAATTCATATTCATGGAATGTTGGGGGGTCCATAAGCCATTTTTGGGGTTGGTGCTGCTAGGAGCCCCCCACCTTCGCAACCAATCTGTACTCCTGGGCTGCGGGACCACAGAGATTGAAGTCGGGTTGCACCGCCAAGCTGCGAATTCCGAGGTTTGTACCTACGGCTTCCGGAAGGTCGTGGATGGGTCTTCAATGATGAGACACCTTTCGGATGTGGATGGGGTGGGAAGCCGGGGAGATGCGGATGAGGTGGTCCTGCGCGAGCGTGGGTCGAAATCGGCCCGCCGGTTGGTTCTCACGAAGCCTGCAACAAGACAGTCCTAGAATCTGAGGGACCTCTATGTTGGACGCAGAAGCACCAGAAGAATGGCCTTACCTTGTCCCAAAACAGGGGTCCAATATGGCTCAATGAGTTCCAATAGTATACTGTAATATACAGTGGTTTCAGAATAGATGGCACAACCCCCACGATGTGTTTTATCTAGGGGTCCATCTAAACCACCGAACTTGGGGATTGTGCCATCTACTCTGAAACCACTGGATTAAATTAAGAAGCTAGTAGTAACAAGTGCCACGCTACTAGGAACAGGTGCCTTACTAGTAGTAACAAGAAGCTATTAAATAACATTTTTCACCTACCAGCGCCCGACTTCACACGTCACCCCCTGCCACCTTTAAGTCTCCAGAGTCGGGTGCCGGCGGCCGGGCCTCGCCAGGGACTCCCTCGGAAGACCTCACTCCGAGCGTGTCACGCTTAGAAAATCACCGGCAGAGTCCCCACCAGCCACGTTTGGACCCCAACCTGAATGCCATAGGATTTGGGGCGCAGACTTGGGGACGGAGTGCAAGGTTCTTGGGTGAAATGGTCAAACTAAGAGTGCCGGCATCCTCCCACTGGTCACCAATGGTTCGACCTATTAGGGCCCAACCCTTGAAGGAGACTGGGATGCCGGTAGGGGAGTTGCACTTTGGGGGTTTCTGGTTTCCTTCCGGCTTTCCCTGTCTCGTTCATCTTTTTTTCCCGGACATCCCTTCCGCCTTCGAGCCTTCTCATCTCCAAGCCCTTCGGATTTCTTCGGGTTTTCGCACCCAAAACGATAGGAATGACGAGTGGTTCCGATCCTTTTGGCTTTCCAGGGATCGACCTGTGGTTCCGATCCCACCCTTTCGGGCTTGAAAGGCTGCCCAAGCAGATGAAGCTTTGACCTCTAAAAACGCAGCCACCAAGGCAACGCCCTTTCGCTCTATCACCTCCCGCCAAAAGACTGGGGTGGTTTATGAATGTACATGCAATTTGTGCATTCAGCAATTCCTGGGGATCGAGCTCCATCTTTTTCGTTCTTATTCTGCTTTCGTTGAAACGATCCCCGCCAACAGACCGAATCCAAAGGACCGCAACCCGCAGCTCAGACCGAACCGAACCCGCCTGTGTAAGGAAGATCTATCCGGGCTTACCCTCGGTGAAGCTCACCGCACAGGCCGTGGCCTTCAGTTCTTGCCAACAATGACACTGCCCGCAGTGCATGTAAAAGAAAGACTCTGAAACGGCATGTTTGGAAGGAAAGCAGGTCCCTAGAGGCCCTAAAGGTCAGGAGTGTACCTCATGAAATACTGGAGTTGGACCATACAAGAGACACTGTAGTCTACGAGGTAAAGGACGAGGCTTTACTGGGTCTTTGTAGGGGTTTTGGTTGAACTTCTACCCGAAAATGGTGTTTTCTTCCATGTTAAACGTCGAACAATGGCCCTCAGACATGCCAAGTTCACGCACGGCCTCCGTGTGGGCCTGTTCCACATAACATGGGCAAGGCAAACCCCTCCCAAGTTTGCGCCGCTACGAAACGCACCATACATCCACTCCGTGCAGGGGAAGTGAGCAGGGCCCCCCACAACTCGAGAACAGTGCAGCGTTGCTGGCTGGGTCACTGTAAGGTGCTGAACTCCCCT